CGTTGAGTGTGGTAGGATGCAAGAGCCACACTCCCCTGCTGCTCGTATTGGCTCTTTCCTATTGCTCACACCTACCCTTTGATACTCGGGTTGCCCACACACAGAGACTTGCTCTCTCTCTCTCTCTCACAATTCGCATATATACATATGTATATATATATATATATGCATGTATTCGTTTTTGTTGTGTATACATATACATGTACATGTTCATATACATATACGCATACATATATACATATACACATGTATGTATGCACATGCATGTGTGTGTGTTCAGTCGTGTGCGTAAGCGTGTGTGTTCAAAGAAACCACGTGCTTTTGGAAGCACATCCCTGATTTTCGGTCGTTCATAGGGCGCACGTAGGAGTATACCAAATGAACCCCAAACCTTCTTTCTTTGGAGATTATGGCTATAAACCCCCTTGAAACTAGGACTCTTAGATACCCTACAAACACGTCGGTTTTGGGTTCTTAAGGTAGGGTCTAGGGTCCTTCTCGGGATTCAAGGGCCTTATTTCGTTTCTCATGAGGTGGGGGGGAGGGGGGCGGAGGGAGATGCTGCGGTCCAGAACACCAGCCCTTGAGGGAGACAAAGGGTTGGCTCCCTAAACCCGAAACCCTAAACCCTAAACCCTAAACCCAAACTACGTACCCCAAACTACGTCAGTAAGGCCCTAAAGCAATGAGCCCTCAAGCTCTTTCTGTGAACCTCCTTTCAGGGCACTATGGGCTGCTGGGCGCCCCAAGGCAGTCTTGCAGGGCTTTCCAGGTTTAGGGTTTAGGGTTTAGGGTTTAGGGTTGCAAGGGTTTAGGGTTCAGGGTTGCAAAAACCAGGGTTTAGGATTTCGAGGTCTCGAGGGTGTTGAGTGTTGAGGGGGTTTTGAGGGATACGCGAGATCTAGGGCTCAACAGCAGTTATTTATGCTGATGTGCAGTTGCGTTCCTTTGTGGGGGTGTATATGTATACCCCGCAAGTTGAAACTACACTCGAGCTTTTATGTTTAGAGTTTGGCAGGGGCCCCGTCGCACCTGAAGCCGACGTCGCTTGGGTTTTGGGGGGTTCGGGTTTGTGTTTCGAAGCCCTGTAACAACCCCTGAACTTGGGATGTTCCCCCATATACCATCAGTCCTCAATAGGGATTGAAGTAGGGGGTATTAGAATTTATCCCTACTAAGGAGCTGTTAGTAGAAGGGGGAACATCCGCGCCCCAAACCCTAAACGCTTGAAAGCACCTGACGTCTCTAAGCGCGATTTGCCCTTTGCGGTGTTAGCTAGGCGGCGTCGTTTCGGGTATAGTGTTTAGGAGTTTAGGGTTTAGGGAACCCAGCTGAACCCTACACCCTACCTGCGACGCCGTGGGCGTTGCGCGGCCAAACCCTAAACCCTGAACCCTGATCCCTAACGCTGATCCCTAAACCCTAAACCCTGGACCCTAGACCCTAAGCCCTAAACTCTAAACCCTAAACCCTAAACCTCAATCCCAACACACCAGGATGCCGCAATGCTGCAGCGGACAACATTGCGCAGCGCTCGCGCGACGTTAGGATGCTTGGCGAGGCGTTTTCTCTCGGTTTCGGGGTGGTTTGGGATATGTATTTAGGGTTTATAGGGTTTTAGAAGGACATTTAGGGTTTACAGGGTGTTTTTTGGGGGGGGTCATTTTTGTTAAAGTACCTTAAGGCACTAGAGTACGAACGGGAGATTCCCCAAAAAGGGTACCCAATTTAGCACCGCCCCCGTTTTTGCTTCCTGTCGTCCGACAGACCCCGCTAGCACTTGAGTTGGTGAACTGGTGGGTGGCCCTACTTGGAGGTTCAGGGATAGTTCTGAACTATAAACCCTAAACCCTAAACCCTAAACCCTTCTACTGCTAGGCCAGCAAGGTATTGAGCTCCCTGGTCAGTGTCATAGCTACGCCCAGGAGCGGAGCATCCCTTCACGCGCCTTGTCCGCAATTCAGCTTGAGACATATGTGTAAGGACAGCCGCGACGTTACATGGTGGCATATCTTCGCCTTTCAGAAATTTGAAATTTCTTGTCGCGGGTTTGTGCCTTAGTTTGCCAGCCCACCCAGGGCAGAAGAAAGGTTCTAAACCTTACACCCGAAGCCCACTTCCGGGTGCCTTACCTTAGGCTCTTGGGGCCCATCGAAGCCTCACGAGATAGGTTCCCTTCTGAAGTGCATCGGTTTAGGGTTTAGGGTTTAGGGTTTAGGGTTTAGGGTTTATAGGGCTTGTAACCGTTCTTTAGTTTGTTTCAGGCGTTATAGGTTCCTTAATGAACTGCCCATCGGCTCTTTGGGGTTTAACAAAGAAGGGTTTAGGGTTTAGGGTTTAGGGTGTAGGGTTTAGGGTTTAGGGTTTAGGGACCTCGTTTCTGGTACATGGAAGGCTAGCATTCGAGAAGTCTCTGGCAAACTCGCTGCTGGATTTGGGCCAGGCAGAGGAGGCGGGCTCTGCTGAGATCTGAACCCTAAACCCTAAACCCTAAACCCTAAACCCTAAACCCTAAACCTGGGTTTCGGGTCATAGGGAATCCCTGCCGTCTGATTAAGTGTAAATGCTGCGTCGGGCGCCTCGGCCCGGCCCGAAAAACTAGAGACGCGCCAAAGTTTAGGATCTAGGGTTTCGAGTCTAGGGTTTCGGGTTTAGGGTTTTAGGGTTTGGGGTTTAGATTTAGGGTTTGAAGGTTTCATGGGTTGAGGATGAAGGGCCAAGGTCCTATTTGTGGGCGGGGTTTTCTGAGAAAGTGACAGGGGGTCAGATTTCTTCAGGATCGGGTTTAGGGTTTAGGGTTGAGGGTTTAGGGTTTTTGGGTTTGCCCTCCTTGAACCCTGGCGCAAAGTGGGGCGTTCGAACCATTCTGGGTTGCTTGGCTTTTGCTGAGCCATCAGCAGAGAGTCCCAAAGTTCAAGCCATCCAAGCCTTCATTGGGTTTAGGGTTTAGGGTTTAGGGTTTAGGGTTTAGGGTTTAGGGTTTAGGGTTTAGGGTTTAGGGCTTAGGGCTTAGGGCTTAGGGCTTAGGGCTTAGGGTTTAGGGTTTAGGGTTTAGGGTTTAGGGAATTGCTGCTCCAAAGCCCTCTGGGTATCAAATCAGGTGACCAGTGAACTTGACCTTGAGCAGGTGGTCAGAGCACTGCCACGGGAACCTTGCGTTCTAATTGCAAAACCCTGTCTACAGTCTTGGAGCCTTACCGAATTAGCTTGTGTACAGACCAAACCCTGAATCCTGTCCGTCGCCTTGGGGTTTTTAAGCTGCGACGCCCTAAACCCCAAACTCCGAAACCCCAAACCCGTGGGTTCTACTGAGCTGCAAGGCAGCTTCACTCCTTCGTCGGGCATTGGCCGAGGACTCGGGGAGCCACCAGACGTGTGTGCGCTGGTGCTTTTGGCTTGACAGGGTTGGGCTCTAGGATTTCGCAGGACGGATTTCAATGGGCCAAAGGAGGGACTCCTTAAAAGGGACGTTCGGGGATATTGAGGGTTATGTAGGGGCCACTCAGGCATACGGAGAGTCTATAAGGTGTATATATAGATATATATATATATACATATATATATATAGGGGGTCATATCTGGATTATTTTGGATATTTTGGGGAATAAGATTCACGGTCCATTAAAGGAGTCCCTCCTACTTGAAGGTTCATGGTACTTACTAACCTGTTATAATTGTACTTATAACACTACTTATAATACCCCTAAAGGGCCTTATAGGGGTTATCCCAATTACAAGTAGGGCTATAAGTACAGTTATATTTGGTTAGTAAGTACCATGAACCTCCAAGTAGACCCCTTAAGGATTTGTAGAGAAGCTCGGGCTGGATGGGGTGGGTAGTCAGGCGAGGATGCATCTTCGGGTTTAGGACTTAGGGGTCCCAAAGTCCGTTGCCCAACAAGGGTTCAGGGTTTAGGGTTTAGGGTTTAGGGTTTAGGGTTTAGGGTTAGGGATTAGGGTTTAGGGCTTGGGGTTTAGGGTTTAGGGTTTAGGGTTTAGGGTTTAGGTTGTCACAAGGGCCACTCCATAAGCAACAACGCGTTGAGCCTAGCGATCACCAGCCCAAGCCCCTAGCCCAAGGATCCTCGGGGATGTTCTGAGTTAGGTCACTCTCTTACAGGTGCTCAGTGGTACCCGTTTCCCTTTTCTTTGGTTATGGGTTCCCGTATAAAATAACCACCCCAAAATTTGGTGCTATTATTATTAGTTGGTGACTGGGCTACTAAGTACAAATTCTTACAAACCCCCCCCCCCCCCCCCCCCCTCCCCGGCAGGTTTGGTCCCTGACAAGCCCCATTGGTTGACTGAGCAGGAACGGCGCGCTTTGGGAGAGGATGCTGTGCAGGCAGCATGTGGAAACAGGGTTTATGTTACTGTTGTTGGTGAGTGTATATAAGGTTCCTTTTAATATTGGTGAGTGTATATACCGGGTGTTCTTTTGGGGGGTAGAAGAAATATAATTACACCTTACCTCATGTGGTGTGAGCAGCGCGAGTCTCTCACAGCGATGTCGAACTAGCACGCAGTGGAATACGTACGTACATATGCATCCGTCGATTGTTTCCATCACATTTTCTCCCTAAAGAAGCCCCAAACATTCTCACCCCTGAGAACTCGGCAAGTGACTGTTTTTGCGCTGTGTGAAGTTCTGGCCGCTGCTGTTGAGTGCTGGCAATTGCGCTCGTGCCCTAGAGTATTAAGCTTTAGGGTTTAGGGTTTAGGGTTGGGTCGCGTGCACGCATTCCTGGATGGGCTCAAAGGCGCTTGGCACTTCGAGCCAAGTCGCCAAAGTGCACAGATCCTCTGTATCGTGCCACATGTATCTCAAGCACGCACTTTTGCCTGGAAAGCCCAGGGGAGAGCAGGATTGCACAGTCTTCCCAAGGACAGATGGGGGAGCAGATGGTTAGGTTCCAAAGCGCATGCTCCACACGGCTGCACCCGGGGGACTTCGAAGGGCTCCAGATTCAGGGAGAGGCCACAGCGCCTCATCTGACCTCATGGCTGTGGCAGCTGCTTCGGCTGTGACTGGGGCGAGCGTAGCGGCTGCCGCCGCTGCAAAGAGCTTCTCGGCTGCGCGGACGTGGCCACGAACACCGAAATTTCCAAGCCCCCAAAATGCTTAAACCATAAACCCCAACACGCGAGAACCCCGGAGATGCTTAAAACCACACACCTGTAGATTGGGATGTTCCTACATATGAACAGCCTTTTTGTAGGGATTCTAATTGGGGGGGGGGGGGGTACGAGAATCCCTATCACGGGCTGTGAGTTTACGGGGGAACATCCCAACCTATAGATGCTATAGGTCATCCCAGCTTGATGTAGCGCGCTTGAGCTGGGCCTCCTGCGGGGGTTTAGGGTTTAGGGTTTAGGGTTTAGGGTTTATAGGGCTTAGGGTTTAGGGTTTAGGGTTTAGGGTTTAGGTTTTAGGGTTTAGGGTTTAGGGTTTAGGGTTTACCCTACCCCCCCCCCCCCCCCCCCCCAAGGAGACGAAACTTGTATCGAACTTTAGCACCGCATGCAGGCGAAACAGGGGCTTACACCAGTGGCGTAGGCCATTGAGTCCAACGCAGGAGCCGATATGGGAGCCCACGTGAGTTCCCGATGCTGTCTCCTCATCATCCCTTACACAAACAGGGTTTAGGGTTTAGGGTGTAGAGTTTAGGGTTTAGGGTTTAGGGATACCCATTCTTAAATCGGCCACTGTATTTCAGCGCTTAGGGATGTTTAGGGCCACCGGACTCCGCCCACCCAGGCAAGGATGGTGTTGTGGTGGCAGCCGCAGCAGCTGCAGGGGGCGTGGGCGGCTACATGCTGCAGCCCGCCTACATGTAGGGGTTGAGGGGTTGAAGGGTTTCGGGTTCAGGGTTTAAGGGTTTAAGGGTTTAGGGTTTCGGGTTTAGCCCTGTGCGAACCGACCTCACTCTAAAGGAACCGATGAATACAGACCCTGAGGACCCCCCGCCCCCCCCCTGCCCCCCGCCTGCCCCCCCCCCCCGCCCCCCTAACACAACACACACCTTGACCCATTAGGATTCGTTTGGGTTCAGGCCCATGAGAGAGCCCTACTCTATGAGGCGGCCTTGCGGAAGCTTAACATCTGAGGCGCTTGGTAGTCACAAGAAAGGCAGAGAACAAGTCTCTCCGCACACTCGTGTTCCGCATACTCGTGTTCCTGTCAGTACGAATCCGGATTCTGCCACAGAAGTCCCCCCCATCAACAGTTGTAGTTATGATGGCACAAATGTTTGTTGGGGAGATGGCAATGGAAAGTGTTGACCTGTCTGAAGCTGAGCTTTAGCTGCCCAAACCTCGCTGTTTTCTGGGCTTGGGAAAGAGCAGAGATCTGGCGCTTTGAAAAAATCAAGGGTAAATATGTTCCCAGAAAATTACAAGTAATCATACATTCAAAGTAACGAATCACCCACGTGAGAGAAAATAACCACACTTACCCCGGCACCCCACCCCGAAAGGGCTCTGAAAGCCCTAAACCCTAAACCCAAGACCCAACCCTAAACCTTAAACCCCGAACCTCAAACCCTAATCCCTAAACCCTAAACCCTAAACCCTAAACCCCCAAACCTCTGAGCCGACCGTGAGGTGGTATCTGATTCAGGGCAAGAAAGGAGGCTCGTCGTCCTCGCCGACCAGCGCTTTGCGTGACATCGAGGCATCCTCGACTGCAGCGGGAGGAGTATAGGGTTTAGGGTTTAGGGTTTAGGGTTTAGGGTTTAGGGTGTAGGGTTTAGGGTTTAGGGTTTAGGTCAAGGCCTTCAGCTGACTTCAGGCGTTTGTGTTCATCAAAAGGTGTCAAGTTCACCTGGGACTCTGTCTGCCTAATTACAGTTTAGTAGTAACTGCACTTTAACTAGTAGGTACAAGCCAGAAAACTGCAAGGAAAGGGAGTCTCAGGTATTCCCTACTCAAGTACTACTATTCGCCTAATTACACCAAACCATTCTGAAAAAATGATCCCCATATGACCCTTAAAGGGAAGAACCTATGTTTTGCAGGGTTCTAGAGCGACCAGTAGAGAACAGCAGCACACCATGGTTCCATCTGACTTGGTTCCAACGCACAAGCCTGTTGTCGAGGCAGTTCTGCGTCCGGAAGACATCGCCTACGGCAAGGAGCCGGTTTGGCCCTAATGATTAGACCACGGTTTTTTTTTTGGGAGGGGGGGGGGGGTTATCACAGTATATTCATAAAGGAACCATAATCGTAGACTCTGATCAATAATTCTTCAAACCCCGAGATGTTACTCAACGGTAAACCCGAAACCCATTAAGATTCCGTTTAGGGTTATGGGTCTACCTTAGATGGAGCACACGTCTTTCTTTGCGCGCAGCGCAGGAAGTGGAGAAGTGGTGCCTGGAGATCGCAGGCGGCCAAGCCGCTGTCGGCCCAGCACCACACCTGCACACAACGAATTTCCGTTTAGGGGTCATGGGTTTCGTGTTTAATACAGGGGTCGGAATACATATACTAGTTCATAGTATTCCCTTATGGTCCCTTTATATATACATATACATATATACCATAGTAACCTCCCAAAACCCTGTTCTAAGCAGTCAAGCCCCTATAGTCGGGTTTCAGGTTGGATGAATAAGGGCAAGGAAGGAGTAAGAGTGTTTGGCTCCCTAGCTTCAAGTAGTGGGACTTCCGGCAGGATTGACATGGTCAGCTCCCTAAATTGTGGTTTCTTTCGGGGGACCCTACGCAAGAGGGGCCGCCTTATCAATAGAAGCCAGAAAAGGGACCCTATGGTTGCTGTGGGCCTCTTCTCAGGAAGTGGTCTTCAACCAGGGGTATGTACCAGAGTTGATCGAGCATTTGCGGGCCTGCGTTGAAGGTGTAACTTCTGGCATGTGGAGCCGGAAGTGTACACAGCCACGAGACCCTAAACCCGAAACCCTAAACCCGCAGTGATATGCTAAGGCCCTCCTTGTGGCAGCACGCGCCCACAAGATTGAGCTCCTTCGCTCTGACTTCAGCCACTTCGTAGTGGTTTTGCATCCTTACCTGTAAGTGGCTCGAGATTCTCTCTCTCTCTCTCTCTCTCTCTCTCTCTCTCTGCCGTTGCATCCAGAGGGTCTAGCAGTGGAGCTTTCTCCCAGGATTTTTTTTGGGCTGAGGTTTCGTGCTAGCTAGAGGTAAACCCTAAAGATCCCCAAGCCCTGAAGTCCCGGTTGCGAAGGCATGGACTGTAGTGTCTGGTAGGTTCGACACATCTACTTTGTTGCGGCATCTACATCTTCGTGAGCGTTATGCAGGTAGGAACAGTGGTGCCACGCCTCCACAGCCCCCGAGCCAGCCTCAACCCGACAAAACAGAACCAAAGCCCTCAAGTACTGAAAAGGAAGAGACACACTTCAGAAACTTGAAAACTCTTAAACATAAACCTTCGACCCTAAAACCCTAAGCCCCTGCACCTCAGATCGCGCATCTGAAGCCCCAAGAGCCCTAAGCCCGGAACCCCCGAGCCTAAAACGGTCAACCCTCAGCCTATAAGCCTCCAAACCCTTAGGGTTTAGGGTTTAGGGTTTAGGGTTTAGGGTTTAGGGTTTAGGGTTTAGGGTTTAGGGTTTAGGGTTTAGGGTTTAGGGTTAACTCTGAGCCCAGAGCCCGGGCCTCTAGGGACGTGCTATCGGTCAGTCGGGAATGGAGGCACTATTCATCATAAGGCCAAGAACGCCCTAAGCCCTAGACCCTAAGCCTTGCACGTGCGCTAGTCGTGCGAGAGTCGAAAGCAGTCCCCTAAACCCTAAATCCTAAACGCCCTAAACCCTAAACCCCAAAACCCTAAACCCTAAAACTTCTAGCAACCAACAGCACGAGGAAGGCAGCCGTGCGACGCAGCCAGTTTCCTGGCTCGGAGGCGTGCGATTTCCGCTGATTTAGGGTTTAGGGTTTGGGGTTTGGGGTTTGGGGTTTAGGGTTTCTGAGCCAACATACTATGGGGGTCGGAATAGTTACCAGTAGCATTCCCTCATGGCCCCTGTCTAGATTATACTATAATCATATCCCCCAAAGCCCTGTCCTAATTTTAAGGCCCCAATACTAGTGCATGTGCACCATAGGCCAGGATGCCAAAGGGTTTAGGGCTGCTCAGGGTCCTGGTTGCAACAAGGGTTTAGGGTTTGGGTTTATGAGGGTTTAGGGTTTAGGGGGTTGAGGGCTTTAGAGTTTGCAGCGTTTCTGGGAGCTGATAGGGTTGAAGGGCCAGGCACCCCTGTTTGATTGAATGTACCTTAGAGGAAGGCTGATAGGAGCCCTATTCTGAGCCAAGGTCTTAGCGAGACTCGCTTGGTTGGGTCTTGATGCCGACTTTGTTGAGGCTTTCTGGCAACGCCTAGGCAACCCCTGTAGCTGGACTAAACCCTAAACCCTACACCCTATACCCTAAACCCTACACCCTAGACCCTGAACCCTGAACCCTGAACCCTGAACCCTGAACCCTAAACCTAACCTAAGACCCTTTGTGCTTATCACCAGCTCTCAAGCCCTATCAACCTAAAGTCTGCATCGCCCGCGCGTTTTGCAGGAGGGACACGCGCAGTGGAAGGCAACACTGAAGCAGAAGCAGGTCAGCCCTTGGGTTCAGGTTTGAGGGGTTTAGGGGTTTTTAGGGTTTTTAGGGGTTTTTAGGGTTTTTAGGGTTTTTAGGGTTTTTAGGGTTTTGGGGGTTTTTAGGGTTTTTAGGGTTTTCAGGGTTTTTAGGGTTAGTATTGTAGGTATTGTAGGCTTAGTTAGGGTCTCCATATTTCCGAGCTACTGGAGCTTGTAGGGAATGCTCATGGAAGTTGCTTGCACAGAAGATTGGTCACTCGGGGGCTGCCCGGTCTGGACTTCCAGGGGAGCCGTTCGACCTAAAGGAATCACCCCCCCCCCCCCTCAAATCCCAAGTGCATCATCGAAACGCACGAGTGTCCCGTCCGCTTGCATGCGCAAGCTGCAGCGTTAGCATGGGGAACTCCAGACAAGGCTTCCTACTATCCTATCCGGTCTTCTGGCCCGGCGAAAGGGGTGGTCTCATGCAACGTGTCTGTTCAACAGGAAGGCAAGATTTCCTCCGCACCCAAGCACGCCCACAGCGAGAGGAGATGCGACTCAAGCCAATTCTGGCCAAAGCTGGCTGGGGCTCGGACGCCATTGAGCGCGTGACAGCGCTGTTCCTGACTCGAAAAGTTCAGATTGTGGAAGTACAATAGGGCCTTGGGATATTGTGTTTCCCTGGTTGGGTTTGTGTGGATCACGTTGAGGAGTATTTGTCAGAGGGCTTTTTAGGGCCATCCTAGACAAGTACCAGCTTCAAAAGGCAGTTTTTCGTGTGTTGACCATAGCCGGAAGTGTTTCTTGCACGTGTTTTAAACTTTGCACTAAATGGACCATGCACATGCAGTTTCCAAAGCAGTTCACAGGCCCTCCTAAACCCAAAGCAGCCGTAAACCCTAAACCTCAATCCCCCCAAACCTCAGTCCAGAGGTCCTGGAAGCTGTTCGCCTAGAAGGTGCTGAGAGATAGGTCTGACTGCAATGACTGCCGTTTGTCCCCATGGGGGCAGAAACTTTGTCGAGATGGTTGGCCTTGCGCAGCCTTTACCCAGCAGACCAAAACCCCGAAGTCCCCACAGGGTTGCTGGTTTCAGGTAGCTTTCCCAGTGCTGACATCTTGGCTTCGGTACTTATCATGAAGCTGCAGTGAACATCTGCAATGATACTTTGAAACAGCCTTTGCTACCTAAGGCGCCCTGTCGGCCCCTCATGTGGCATTCTTCTCCGAGATCCCTATCACATCTGGGCCCGATACGTCTTGAACTTTAACCCTGGCGAACTTCTCAGCTTCCCGCAACAAAGGTTGTCAATGGACGGGCCCCGCGAGGACAAGGACATGCAGGCGCAGCCATCGCGAAATCCTAAACCTTTTCTGGAGGCCCAGTGGTACCCTTTGCCCGTCTTTTTGGTTCTGGGTTCCCTGAAAAAGTAACCAACCCCAAAAAGGGTGCCCTTATTAGAATAGGGTTACTGGGCTAGCAAGTTTTCTGGGGGCTTGAGAATCCGACAGCCCTGACACATGTCCGAGGGCAGGCCAATACCCCCTAAACCGTAGACCCTAAACCCTAAACCCTAAACCCTAAACCGATGAGAAGTGGAGCGTTTTTCATGGCCTCGCACGAAGGTCATCGAGGACGCCACTTGCTTGGTGTTCCTGGAGACAGATCTGCGATCAATGAGCCTTTCCCTACTTTGCCAACGGTTGAACTTAGGGTTTAGGGTGTAGGGTTTAGGGTTTAGGTTTTAGGGCTTAGGGGTTAGGGTTTTAAACTTTTCGGGCTTCCTTATTTAGTAGGAAACATAAAGTGTAACCTTTTTTCTCTCCTTGGTTATTGGAGAAGTAAGTTTCTGAAACAAGACACCCAAAAGCCTGAAGCCATAATTGCTCCCCTAAAACCAAAGCGCCTGAAATGTCAACATCCTAGCGCCCTATTCAATAACCCCCTATCAGCCCCTAAAGCACGAAAGCCCTAATCCCCCCCCCCCCCCCAAACTCTAAAAGCACCACCTAAACCCTAAACCCTAACCCCTAAACCACTAAACCCAAATAGTCTGGACGGAAGCCCCAGTTTGAAAGATTGAGGCCTCTACACATCATGCCGATACCTTGAACGCCCAGTAGGGTTGAGGGCTGAGGGTTTAGGGTGTAGGATTTAGGGTCTAGGGTTTAGGGTTTAGGGTTTAGGAATTTTGGGGGCATAGGTAGTAAATCGGACTTTGTTTAGAGATGGTCTCAATCAGGAAAAGGAGAATTTGCTTCAGGAATCCTCGATGATGGATCCCCCTTATACGGAGGATCTCTCTCCCTCCCCCCAAGGTAGAACAACGCTAAACCGGCTAAACCCTAACCCCCTGTCCTTCTCTTGAACGTGAGCGTCGGAGTTCTGAGGAAGATTGAAGATCATACCAAGCTCGTGGACCTATTGCATAAGACATGGGTGCCTTGTCTTGAGATTCATCTGCAAGAGTTTAGAAGAATAAACAAGTATCAAATGCCGGAGACATTTTCTCAAAAATACCATCCCAATTCCTTGTATTCCAGGAATGAGGCCTGCCTGATGACGTGCTCATGAGCAGGGTGTGTATGGGTTCTATTGCGATAACATCAGAATGTAACATGTAAGAAGAACATCATGTAATACGACATGACATTGCAGTTCTAAGGGCTATAAGGTTGGCCTTTCCTCCTCCTAACGCCGCCCAGGCTTTGAAGACAACTCTGTGTGTGCAGCGCAGGTGAAGATGTTCCCCCTTGTACTAGCAGCTCCTGAATAGGGACGATGATAATTAGAGTACTATAATCCCCTTATATAATCGGGACTGTAATAGGAGGCACTAGAACCCCTGCTGTTAGTATAAGGGGGGCACATCTCAATGCGCCGCACAGGTGAAGATGAGCCCGCGTGCCCAGCAAAAGGCACTCCTCCTCGAGTACGACGCGGCCTTGCTGCACTGCCTGATCGAAGCCATCGCGCGAGACTCGAACCAGTCTCTTCCCCAGACCCCGATCCTTGCCTGCTTTCAAGACCTTAGGGTTGGGATGTTCCCCCCTTGTAGCAACAGCTCCATAGGGATTATAATAGGGGGTACGATAATCCCTTTTTTTCACTGTTAGTATAACGGGGAACACCCCAACCTTAGGGTCTCGTTTTAAGTTAGTTGACGCAAAAACACGAACATCAAAGCATGCTGAATGCAAGGATGGTGGCCCCACGTCTCCCAAAGGCTTGTGCAGAGCTCCTCCGCAACAGCTGGGGCAAGTTGCCAGAGACTTTCGCCAAGGAGGTCTTTGACCGGCTCAAACTTGAGGACAAGGAGGTCTTAGTAGCTGAATGAGTACATTTTGCACTTTTTGGGATACTCTAATCCCAATATAGAGCTGAAAGTGTACACTTTTCTAGGGCTTCTGAACCCAGCAACTAATCAACTAAGAGGTGCATGAGCTCCTCTCGGCCCCGGTCGTGAAGGACAATCAGAACATGCGGAAGGTGATTAGTCGGTTTCTGGGTTTCCTGGAGGCAGAAGCTGCTTGCCTGCCCTGGCAGTCTTTCCCTATGTGTTTTTTCTTTCTGGCTTCGTACGCGATCAGCTTAAGAAATGCCCCCTTTAAGCCCAGAAGCCCAAAACCCCCGTGTCCCTAAACCCTAAACCTAAAACCCTAAGCCCTAAACCCTAAACCCTAGGCCATGCCCAAGTTCGAGAAGCTGGCCCACGCCTTGGCCGTGGCCGGCCACGCGGGGGGATTGCGGCTCTCACACCTCGCCGCCATGAAGCGCGCCGTGGTGCGGACGGTGACCAGCAACTGGACTGCAGGTTTAGGGTTTAGGGTTTAGGGTTTAGGGTTTAGGGTTTAGGGTTTAGGGTTTAGGGTTTAGGGTTTAGGGTTCAGGACCTATAGGGTTCATGGGTAGTTATAAGGCGGGTCAGAAGTACCCCTAAATACGGTTATAAGTATAGTTGCCATAATATAACCCTACTTATCCAGAGAGCCCAATGCCCCTTAAGACCGCAGACTAACTTTCGCAAGGAATATCCCTTAAAGGCCTTAAAGGGTACTGTGGGGGGATATGGGGGGTGTACATATTTCCCTCAATTCAGTACTAAGGGCCCAGTATCCCTTAATGAAGGAATATGCCTTACGTCATATAGAGGGTCCTTAGCATGATTTATGGTCTGTTCCTTAATTAACGTGTATTGGGGCCTTTTGGGAACGAGCAGGATCACCAGAGCCCCCCAAGCCTGCGCTACATGCGATCTATGGGACCCCGAGGCAACGCCTCCAAGCAGGAGCGGGAGTCTGTGAATAGAGCATGGGAGGCGGCCGGGGGGGGCTTTAGGGGGCCTAGGGCTTAGGGGGAAGGGCGGTTCTCGATGGGTCTTTAGGAGCCTTTTGAGGGTCCCAAAACCATACAACCCTAAAGCCCTAGACCCTGTGTCGCACTTGGCCCTTGACCCCATGGTCCCGAATTAACCTTGGCTTGAAGTCCAAACAAATGGCTGGGTCTTTGGGTTTAGGGTTTAAGGCTAATGGGTTCAGGGTGTAGGCTTAGCTTTCTTGTTTTCTTTTGCCAGCCTGCGTTCGCGGGAGGAAATCAGCCACAGTCTGCAACCCTGAACCCAAACCCTAGAAATCTCCAGACGCGGCTTCGCGCGAGGCGTTCTTCTACGCCGTGGCGGCTGTCGTCGCCCCACACCTCATGAGCCAAGATCGTTTGGAGGAGCATCTTTTGAAGAGTCTGGTTTGGGATGTTCCCCCCTTAGACTAAAAGCTCCTTAACAGGAATTATAGTACCACTTATTATAATCCCCACTAAGGACTGTACCACCTATTATAATCCCTGTTAAGGACTGTTAGTATAAGGGGACCATCCTACAGTCCAGTTCTAAATTGCTAGTTACTGAGACCCTGTTGGGGAACTTGAATCAAGCTACCAGAATAGCAACGGCAGCAATTCATCGGTGTTCTAAGCCCTATAAGCCCTATGTATGCCCTACATGCCCTAAAGCCTTAATTTTGCAAATTAGCCTTTTGTGGCTGGGTTCAACAGGCAAGGCGTGGCTTCTTTTCATACCCTTTCCAGTTCTATGTCATAAATGGGAGGAAGAAGGGTTTAGGGCTTAGGGTCTCGTATTAAATAAGCCGAAGTGCTTGCTTGCTTTGTTTTCGAGCACCCCCCTGCTGACTTGGTGCTCCGCATTTGCAAAGACAAGATTGGCCCCTGAACCCTAAACTCTGAACCCAGTCCCTCGTGCTGTCGCTTACGGTTCTTCCGTCTAAGAGGATGTGTGCGACCAGGCTCTGGATAGTGGCAGGAGTCTGGTAAATTATGTCTTAGGGTAGTTTATATGGTCCCTGAGTGTGGTCAGCCTAAACCCTAAACGCTGCAGTGCCGTTGCGAGGCTGCTAGGAACCCTCAACCCTAAACCCTAAACCCTAAACCCTAAACCCTAAACCCTAAACCCTAAACCCTAAACCCTAAACCCTAAACTGCAGCTGGGCTTAGAGTTGCTCCTGAGCATCTGGGTACTTCTCTGAGTTAGGTCCCCTTCCTTGGGCCCCTCCCAAGATCTCCGAACCCGAAGGCTTACCCGAAACCCTAAACCCTAAACCCTAAACCCTCAACCCTAAACCCTAAATGAACCAGGGTTTCGGGTCTAGGGCTTAGGGCTTGGGGCTGAGGTTCTGAGGCTTGAACCCTAAACCCTTAGGGTAGTTTCATGGGACCCTGAATATGGTCCCCTCCTAAGGGCCTAAACCGTAAACCCTAGAACCCCTAATACCAAGGAACCATGTAGTTACCCTAAGAGAAGCCCAGCTTTCCCCAGGAGATCGCAGCTGCCACCTCGACAGCCTTACCCATCCCCGGAGGTGGGGGTTTCCCAAATTAGGGGGGTTTAGGGTTTCGGGTTTCGGGTTTAGGGTTTAGGGTTTAGGGTTTAGGGGTACCATATTGGGGTCCTTATGATAAGGGGTTCCTAGTATTTGGGGTCTATATTGGGAGTCCCTTGTTTTCGTTAACCTCCAGGTGGCCCTCATGCGGCCGTGGCCGCGGTGAAGCTTGATCTGATTTCGGCACTTTCGGGTTCAGGGTTTAAGGTTTAGGGTTTAGGGTTTAGGGTTTGGGGTGTCGGGTTCTATGTACTCTATAGGGACTTCGGCAGTTTTTGTGGGTTGCTTGAAGACTTATTGCTAGCAAAAAGTAGCGTTATGTGTACCCAAAATCGGGTTGAAAGCATAGCTACTATACGTAGAACCCTACTTAGAACTACACATGACCCTCCAAGTAGGGTTGGGGGGGAGGGTTAAAGGAGAGAGGCAGGGGAACCCTAAATGCTCAACTTGGGTGAAGTTACCGGGTTATCGGAGAAGCCTGACTTGCCAGCAGTGGCAGCGCAGAGTCAGCTAGGGCCGGGTGGTAAGCAAAAACTCCTCAGCTGAACGGAACTCCGTTTAGGGGGGCCTTCTAGGGCATGCAACTTACCCGCGTCGGAAGAGGCCAGAAGATTCAAAAAACATGGACCCCTGTTTGATGACAAACCCCCCCCCCTCCCCCCCCCACATGCAAGTTTGAGGCTGCTAGGTTTTCGGGCCACTTTAGGGTTTCGAGTTGATTTTACCCTGCAAGACAGTAGTTACAGCCAGAGTCTTCTCCTGAAGCATATGGTCCGCTTCTGTCAGTAACTGGGGCCGGTGAAGAAAGATGGTCCTGCTTGCATTAGAGAAATATATTTACATACATACTCCGAAAAGGACCATTATATGGAACACTGGCCGCAGAAGTGCCACCCAAATACCTTAACTTCTAGCCCTAAACCCAAGAGGGACCATCAATAATTCAGAGCTTTAGGGTTTAGGGTTTAGGGTTTAGGTTTTAGGGTTTTAAGGTTTAGGGTTTAGGGAAGCAGCCGAGGAATGGCGTTGCCTTGCTGGCGACTTGGCCGTTAAGTTCGGTCGTTTTGTTTTCGGAAAACAATGACGAGACAAGTGTACATGGATATCCGCTCAGCTTTTTATGTTTATATTTTATGCACACACTGCTTTACTTGATTATGAAATTCATATTGTATGCTACCTACATGCACATACACACACACCCCACCCACACACACACACACACACACACACACACACACACACACACCCGCGCACACACACACACACACACGCGCACACACGCACACACGCACACACGCACACACGCACACACGCACACACGCACCCAGGCACAAATGCACACACGCACACACGCACACACGCACACACGCACACACGCACACACGCACACACGCACACACGCACACACGCGCACACGCACACACGCACACACGCACACACGCACACACGCACACACGCGCACACGCGCACACGCGCACACGCGCACACGCGCACACGCGCACACGCGCACACGCGCACACGCGCAGACGCGCACACACGCACACGCGCACACGCGCAGACACACACACACACACACACACACACACACACACACACACACACACACACACACACACACACACACACACACACACACACACACACACACACGCCTGCGTGTGTACATATGTATATATATATAGCTCGAAATCCTAATCCCTAAGCCTACAAGCCCTAAGCCTCTTATCAACCCCAAACCGAAAACCCCCCCCCCCCCCCCAACCGAATCGAACCAGCCCAAAACCCCAACCCAGAGAGCACAATACTGCGTGGTTCAGGAATACGCTGTCTCAGTATGAGGCCGCCCCTCTCTCTCTCTCTCTCCCTCTCTCTCCTTCTCTCGCCAGAGACAATTTTTTTATGTGGGTGTGTGTGTGTGTGTGTGTGTTTTCAGGTATACTTCTTGGTGAAGGTAGGTAGCTTTCTGAGAAGCTTTCAACACACAGAAGCGGGGCGAGCAAGGAGATGAGCCTCAACATCTCGGCACTTCGTCCGGGAAGTAACGCGCCCCCTGAAGAGGCCCGCTGTGGCGGAAAGCGTTTAGGGCTTAGGGTTTAGGGTTTAGGGTATTTAGGGCTTAAGATTTCAGGAGATGGGTCCAGGGTTTATAGGAACAGTAGCCCAGAAGGTGAGTTTTTAAGCTCTTGGGATGCACGATTTCTTCCCTAAGCGTGAATGATTACACTGTTCTTCGGTCCAGGTTCTGCTCGCCCCCTTGGGTTTAGGGTGACGTCGTCCAAGTTGGATCGGGGGTTGTTTGCCTCACAGGGTTTAGGGTTTAGGGTTCAGGGCTTAGGGTTTAGGGTTTAGGGTCATAGAATCCCTTCGAACCCCGCTTGGATATTCATGGATACAAAAAGTGGGGTCATGCGTATGGTAACTATACTTAGAACCCCATTTTGGGTACATATATCCCTGCTTATAGTATCCGTGAACCTCCAAGTCAAGCAATAGCCCACAAGCAAACCCCGTCGTGATGGAATCGTATTTCGTCTATCCCTGAACTAACTTTGCATGTGGTAGAGAGCCTGGAGAACTGAGCAGACGGGCTGATGAAAGTTCGCTACTTCGCTGGTATAACTGGGGTTTAGGGGTTTAGGGGTTTAGGGTTTAGGGTTTAGGGTTTAGGGTTTAGGGTTTAGGGTTTAGGGTTTAGGGTTTAGGGTTGCGGTTTTGCGTTCTTGTCTTGGTTGAGAATACCTCGGTCTGTGTTGTTTTTTGATTGCCACCGGGGGGAGGGACTGCCAGCTCAGCATGTCGGGCCAAAGCCCGGATTTGGTTGCTGACTTCGGGTTTAGGGTTTAGGGTTTAGGGTTTAGGGTTTAGGGTTTAGGGTTTAGGGTTTAGGGTTTAGGGTTTAGGGTTTAGGCTTGAAGCTGTCTGTAACATTCAACCTTCAACCTAAAGAGCTGAAGCCTGTAGCATCCGGAAAGCGAGGTGAGGATAGAATGCCTAGTTCCCATACGATACTTGGATTGTCTTGCACTCTGGCCAGCACAACCAGCCGTGTAATCCCGCAATGCACTAATCCCTAACCCCTACTTGGAGGTTCATGGGACTTACTCACCACTTATAACTGGGCTTATAACCCTACTTGTAATAGGGAGAACCCCTTTTCAGGCCCTTTAGGGGAAGTGGGGTGATAAGTACAGTTATAAGTACCATGAACCTTCAAGTAACCCCTAAACCCTAAAACCCTAAAACCCGAAAACCCGAAAACCCTAAAACCCAAAACCCTAAACCATCTGGTGCCAGCAATCTTCCCCGTTCATCAAACAAACAGACCAGACGACCTGAAGTGCCACCCGAAGTCGTATGAGTACACCCTTCTGGGAGGTTCATAGTACAGGGTTTAGGATTTAGGGTTTAGGGTTTAGGGTTCATGGGCACATGTAAGGAGGGTTATTATGTACCCTAAATAGGGGCAGTAGGTATAGTTCCCATACTTGTATAACCCTACTTATAACCACCCATGAACCTCCAAGTAGCCCTAAACCCTAAACCCTAAACCATAAACCCTAAACCCTAAACCCTAAACCCTAAACCCTAAACATTAGTTAGAAATAGTTACCCATGAACCCCCAAGTAGAGACCCTTTTTGAACAATCTCGAGGTCATGTCAAAGCTCCGCGAAGCACGCGGCTGGCTCCTCGACTGCATCCGCGAGGACACCGGGGTCGCCGGTGCTGGTTTAGGGTTTAGGGTTTAGGGTTTAGGGTTTAGGGTTTAGGGTTTAGGGCTTAGGGCTTAGGGTTTAGGGTTTAGGGTTGAGGGGGCAGGGTTTAGGGTTGCGCATCGTGTTGCATTCTATTGTTCGGTTTGGGGTTGAAGGGTTAGGGGGAGTGGGTTAGGATGTGCACAACCGGGTTAGCCAATGACTCCAGTGGTTCCAGCTCATCCAAAGGTAGTTGGTGACACTGAGCGTGCGGAGGTAGAAGTGCTTCCTGGGTCGCGAAATCGCCAAACCCAATGATCAATCCACGAGAGCCGGAACAAACTATACACTCAACACGAAAAGGCTTCGTATTGTGAGAGAGAGGGAGGAGCGGGTCGAAACTGGCCCGCCCAAAGTTCTGAGCAGACATGTGGACCCAACCGAAGCCTTGCCGGCCTTGTGCGAGTGCGAGAGTCGAAACCCTAAACCCTAAACCCTTCTGCAGGACGTGAACGCCTACTGCGGTCTTCTGAGCTCGGTCTATGGACAGCTGCCCTCTCAGGTGCCATTCCATGTGTCCTTGCACTTCAGGGAATTGAGGTTTATGGTGTTGGGGTTTAGGGTTTCGGTTTAAAGTTTAGGGTTTTGGCAACTTGAGGTTTCGGAGTTGAGTTTCAATGCTTGCTGTTTCAGGGCCAGGGCTTCTCAGGGTCAAATGGGTGTCTATGAAGTGCGGTTACACTTGAAGCCATCTTTCCTGGCAAAGTGTTTAGAGTCTTCATGCACGGCAATGTGATTTGGGTTAAGGGTTGGATTCTTGTGTTTGCTTGTGTTTTTGGTTTTGTCGTTGGGTTTTTAGCTGCCAAGCCCACCAATGACTCTTAAACTGCAGATGCCGACGGCAATGTTTCGAATTGAGTTGAACCCTTGCCCGTGTCGGAGCAGAAGTGGTCGAGATAGTGCATAGGCAGCTCTCGCAATGAGCATTTGTGGAATGTCAGGGTCTATGCTGCAGGATGATGTGCCACGATTGGTGAACTTGCGTGTCGAGCTGTGTATTGTGGTGGCAGAAAGGGAGGGGTGGGGGGGTGTCGGCACGGCTCTGTCCCGCGTAAATGGCACACCCTGCCTGCATCCTTCCTCCTCAGCGCATGCGTGTTCCATCTTTCAGTGCGCTGCACGTAGCTTGAATGCCGGACATCCGACATCCTAAACCGTCCTAAACCCAAAACACGAAGTTTCTGCAAACAAGTGTGCCTATCGTGTTCCTGCCATGTGCTGCCAGGGATCGCAGACTGTGGCTGCAGAAGAGACTGAGAAGAGGCCATCGTGAAGTGGGGTTTAGGGTTGAGGGTTTAGGGTGTAGGGTTGAGGGGGGCTAGACCTTCAGCCCAGTAGCAAAAGGGTTGAGGGTTTAGGGTTTGGGGTTTGGGGTACGGGCCATATTGCAGTCCACTTCTTGATAGCGCTTCATGATAGTAGTCATACTCTTATAGGTCGCAAGTTTGACCCCACTACCCCCCACAATCGATGGCAAGGGCAACCCGAGCACAGCAGGACTCCACCAGGAGGACAATGGCAACATAGTTTTGCTCCGGCGGAGTTATTTTCCCCGCCACACGCAGATTACAATACATGCACATGTCGTCGACCCCCCGGCTCTGCAGCATGTTCAGGTGTCCAGTCCCCCCTGGTAGCTCGAAATGTTTGCCCTGCAAATTTACTTGGGGCCATGTTTGGAGTTTGCCCAAACAAGCCCATGTTTAGGGTTTAGGGTTTAGGGTTTAGGGTTTAGGGTTTAGGGTTATGATAACGTCGCGCATGGTCACAGCCGGCCAGTGTGTTCTGTTGTGTGCTTCACGCTTGCTTTCCTCATTGCCATGGATCAAGTTAGGGCGCCAGCTCGTGGCGCTTCTACGCACATCTCAGGGTAGTTTCGCGGGCCCTTAATATGGTCCCTTGTCCTCTTGAAAGGCGTCTGATGTGTATAG